AGAAATGTTATTTTGGAAGGTAGTACTGAATAGTGTATTAGAAGCCAAGTTAATGACGTTGACAACACCAAAGTTTCTCAGTTTTCTTACCACTACTGCATGCAGGTGTGGTCTACTAAAAAAAGATGCCTAATGACCCATTCTCTTCTGAAATACCTAACTAAAGAGCCTTCTCACAAGTATTTTACTGTATATTAACGCCACCTTTAATAATAGTTCAATTCACATATTTTCGCCTTGACGAGTTTAAAAAACTAACATTCCGTTGTCGTTACAACAGAAAATAAGAAACAAATACACCAATATATGTTTTGTTGCGGTGAGATGCTAATTTTTCACACAAGTACATAACGACATGAGAAATTTGCCCTTTTTTATTTTAATTTTTATGTTACTTAGATATCAGAAAGGAACACAAACAATTCTGAACTGAATGATAGCAAACATTCTACAAATATAATGTTTTAGTAGAGAAAAAAATCTACGTCATTCAAAACGTGGCAGAAATCAAAGTTTGAAGAAAGCATTAAGTCTGCGTCTTAAAGCGTCTCGGGTATAAAATAACTAACAACAAAATAATTAAACTTCGACACCAGAAAAAATATAAATATCATACCGTTAAAGAACACAGTAATATAAAATAAGAGGGCATGAAAAACCATTCCTGTGAATTGATGATGTCACCACTGGCCTCGAACCGTGTTTTAACCCCGCTGGTAACCTCTGAACGTCTAACCACCCCTCTGGATAACACCAAATCAATCGTAATGCTTGGTCGTAACTTGTAGTTCCATCTCACTCCCGCTCACAATCTATCCCCGCCTATGAGACAGAATTACTTTATATGAAAATGTAGATTCAGGATCGAAAATACAGCGTGGCCATAAATTTTATCGAGAAGGATTTTAAACCGGTTGTGAAAAAAGTTCACAATGACCAAAGACGATATGCAGGGAAAGCCTGATGTGACGAAACAGTACAAGAAGAAGTTCATTTTGAAAGTTACATTATGACAATCCCCACAAATTTTGTTTCGCAAAATAATGATATATCTAGCTGTAAAAAAAAACAGTGCCCAATAAATCTATATCTGAATACAAGAAAATAATCTTGGATCTAGTACGATTCAGTTCCATAAACATTCACGAGCCCAAGCGTTAACCGATAAGCCAAATTGTGTTATTTGAATTACGAACTGAAATTACCTAAATATTACATTAAACACTACAAGATTTGTAAGGCCAGTAATTATACACTACCAAACCAGACCCCTTTGGATCTGTCAGGAGTCCCTTGTGTTTAATTTCATTGAACGCAATGCTTTACCAACAGCACTCGGGCTCTATACATTCAAACAGATCAGAGTCACAAAACACTTTGGAATACACTGCAAAGTAAAAATATAAAAATAGTTAGACTTCTAATTATTCAGTTCGGTTAACACTCGCAAAATACCACATGGAATGACATATTCATATACCATACCACGTTTGTATACATGTAATACTTCGAAATTTTCCCTCATACGCTACATCTATACATTTACATAGCTCCATTACACAAAATCTAACGCTCCCTCATTTCAATTATTTACTGCTTTCGAAACCCATTAACTACTAAAGTTACTTAATTGGCTCATTATAGAGGCAAAACGATTTTAACATCGAAGTATTTGTTTTGGTAAATACTGCACACAACATACAGTTATCACAGAGACACAACTAATGACATTACAAAATAAACTCAGCTGAGTTAGTTTAATTTTGGGTATAAAGCAGGGTAATTTAAAAGCAACTGCAGTGTAAATCTTACATGGCGGAGACTTAAAAGGTTTTTGTACACCAGCACACAGAGTAAACTGAAATATTGCTTATCAATAATAATAATAATTCAATTCTTTTTATTATTTTTATAATAATAATAATAATCCAATTCCTCAGCCAACAGCAAAGAGTGTACAACAGGCAAGCACTAATAAATAAATGTTTTAAACAAAAACAATGAAAATGCAATTCAACTGAATCTAAAAATTGTTCTCGTATCGAGAACGGATACTCAAAGGACATTTCCAATCATTTGTAATTCATGTTATTCCCTCAACTTTTATGAAAGCATTATTTGATCCATTTGGAAAAGCCAGTCCCAAAAACGAAAACCGGAAAGATGTTCCGATACGAGACGTCTAATTATAAACCAGTTCTGACTGAAGTTTTTTCTCATCATCATATGGAAGTTATTTTACTCTGTTGTTCTGGTGCTGAATATTGGTTTCAAATATTTCGCACTTTCAGTTTTCAGTAAAAGAAATTTGGTTCTCTTATAAGGTCCTTTTTTACCTTCTTCCAGCAATAAACAACAGGTTCATTCTGTTAACGCCAAGGCTTTCATCATTCCGAAGAGTAAGTATATATTTGACCTTTTTTCATTCCTTTCTCACGTCATCATTTAATCCCTTGCTAACGTTAAACAATTATTACGTTTAATTTTAACTCGATGAATCAGCTTGGCTGTAATTGCTAAATTTTTCACAGGTTAGCGCCAGAGTATTAGACTGTAATTAAATGGAAACTGCATTGCCCCACCTCCAGACAGTTTGAATTACATTCAGTTTGGAACCCCTGAGCTGACAAGAAACACTTTTCCAATGAATATGGTACAAACTGAAACTGCAAAACGTAATATGAAAATTCATACCCAAAGAGGAAATATACGTGAAAAAACGACGAGCAGAGGTACAAAGAGAAGCAGTTTTATAAAAACGTTGTACCTGTAAACAAAATCTTGCAAACGTACATGCAGGCTAAAACACTTCTTTTATGTGTATGTATGCGCTAGATTGTTTACACTGGAGTTCCTTTGATGCCTGATAAACATTGTGTGAACTGTTCTTAGCTTCATACATTTCCACTTTTATTAGAATATAAACAGTTTATGGTGCATTAAACTGTGATATAATTATGGAAAATTATGGAACAAATCAGTGTTCCAAACACATTATTGCAAGCTGTAAAATATCTTTACCAAAATAAAGAAGTGAATAAAACACGAAGATAAACACAGTTCAGAACTTAATACGCCTATTACTAACAAAGATTTAAAATACGGATGCAATTTCGCAATAAAATAAAGTACAATTAGGTGATTGACTATGTTGTACATGTGTGCACGTGTGTCCAACACTCCAGCATCTGAACGGGTCGACTGATTTTCACGAAAATGGGAAATAACTTTATGATACTGGAGATCACATCAATCTCGAAGATTTTAATTTCCTTAATCAGTATTATCAACACAACGGGCATGCGAAAATTTGAGGTGGAAACTAGCGCCACTTAATATAGGATCTTTAGATAATGCATAACGATAGTTTCGAAAAATGTTAAATTTACGTCATTGCAAAATGTAAAGCGTTATATTAACCGTTCCAAAAATATCTTTAGTTTATAGTATGGCAGCGATAACAAATGAACCATGGAATTCGATCACATGGTCATTTACGTACGAATTATTATTCATCACGCATTGATGTAATATCTCAGGTCACTTAGGTCACAGAATCTCAATTTACTGTCTTCAAATTATCATACAAATTTCTTCTAGCAAATGACTTTCAGGAAAAGCACATTTTCCTTAAAACGATTTAATATATAAGTTACTACAGACCATCGCAGTCTGCTGAATTCTTATCCACTGACTACTGATATATATACGTAATTAACTAAAATATTAGTAAATAAATGCTTCAAAATGATAACACAACTGTCGTATTTATTATGTGCGTATACATTAATTTGTACACACGTTTATACTAAATCTGTTTACTACTTAATAAACTATTTCCACTTTTATCCGCTGTCGTCTCACAGCCGTCAAAGCAGCTAACATCATCCAAATTGGGCAGAGTGGTCAAAGTATGCCGGTGCGTTAATAAGGAGTAAAACAGTGATGTACTCTACTAAAATTTCTTCCACAATTCTCAGAGAGTTTATATGTATGCTTGTGATGTATTGAACTTGTTCAGTTGCCGACATTCATACTCGTAGTTCGATCAAATCCTTGGAGAGTATTCTGGGATCCAATCAAGACGGCGGGTGACTTAGTTGCTCGAGAGCAAGATTGTCACGTGGGGAGAGATAAACGAATCAGTGTCAGTTTGTCTTCGTAGCTACTGGAGTATGCTTTCACTCAGGCTTCAAGTTCTAATCCTTTTTTTATATAAAAATAAAATGTATCATACGGTGTACGGATACAATCATAAAATATGTGTACAAGTCACAGTCTTTATTTTGGGATATGTAATTACTTAAATGAGATGAGACGAACGTCTTCACTGTGTTGCCAGGCCGCAAGAACGCACTGCCGATGCTTGTAGTGCTTGTCTTAGAGCAGACAAATTCAAGTACAGGATACGACAAATTCGCAACCTGTCTCTCCCTGCGCGATAAGCAGCCTTATTGTTTGAATCCTACAATAGCAGGGAACTAAATTCAGAAACTAATTGTGCATTTTAACTGTAATGTTCTCACTGCATGTGTGATATCAACGCTTTAAGATGTTACTTTAGATTTGTTTTGGTACCATCGGGTCGGACATTATGAACAAGTTCCCTCTGATAGAGACCTATGTTTCCTACGCAAAATGATCCAGAAGTGGTTTGCCGTTGCCTTCTTCTGTGTGTAAATGATGATGAAAATAGAGTAATTGTTGGGATGCCACGGAGAAACCGGGGAAGCCCGGAGGAAAACTCCGTGATACCTGGACCACGGTCTTGCCCAACACAAGTTATAAATCCGGGCACCACCGGGAATCGAACCCGGGACCCCAGCGTTCTGACCGCTAGACCACCGTGGCGGTTTACTTTAGATACCCATAAAATTAGTACTGGGCATTTACTGCTCGTGAATACACTGGCCTGCATTTGGTTGGTTCTCATAATTAGCGAGATGTGGATATGATGAATCGTTTCAGAAAGAAGCTTACTGTTGTGTTTAATGTTGCAGAACGTGGAGATGAAACTGCAGCTCTGTGAGAGGTTTTCGTGAGGCACATTCTTGCTGTTGTGAAGGCGGCAAGCCGCGCGTTAAACCGGGCCAGCTGGCGTCCTCACCAGCTTCGCTATCTGTCATGGGAAAGGGTGACAAGAGGGGACACGCACAGCGTCCTGATGGTGAGTTAATGTTCCATCTCGAAACAAGTGTCACTATACAGCAACCAGGAATAAGAAACATAAAATTTCATACACACGAAGTATCGAAATATCAAATGACCATAAATTTCTGATCTTTATTTCAACACAAATGCAAAATAATCACGTCACGCGAGTTACTTACAAAACAACATCAATGAAGACGGCAGTTTGTGACATAAGTAGCAGGGACCAAACCATGCCTACGTCACTAGTTTGCGGGAAGAAGGAAAACAAACACATCAAAAATCAAAGACGTAACCAACACAAATGAAACAGTTAGCTACAAAGTCCTGTCTCTAGGAAATAATGTTTAACATAGATTACAGTATATACTCCCAACCCCCTGACTTTTATTTCTAACGGAATTATAACGCACTAATTCGCCCCGACGACTGTATATGTTACTTACACTTAAATGTAACTTTTAAAGAATTACTTTCACATTATTTCATCCCTTATTCAATTGGATTGAGAATTTATGATCACGCTTATTTAGGTTGGACCCAGGAACAGGCAGATATTGTTATATTTCATGAAACAATGTTTCGTGCATGCAGAATTAATAACAGGTACAGTGGAATGTAGAGTTTTGTGGACATTACGTATGTATTTTTTTTTTGCAGGTTAATGAAAATACTTCAACTGTAAAAAAACACACACAGAAACTCAAAAAGTTCCGACGTTTTGGTTGGTCAAATTTTATTTAAGTGCGAAGTTAAACATATTTAATTATCAGAGAGATGACAAGTAACAATAATCTAGTAAGAAAGGTGTGCTTGAGTATTCCATTTGGTTTTAATTAACAGGGATGTGTGTTACCTACCTTCCTCCCTCCACGACACTTCCGAAATGTTTTTGATTTCGTAATATTGTAATAAAACCTCTACGTCATCCCTCTCATATAATTACAGAGTGATCGAGTTGTACACAATTTAGTCCCTTTTTCCACCCTTAGTTAAAAGTTCACACATTTCTTGATATCACAAAAGACGATGAACCATGCGTGTGGGTGGGGTAATGGTTGAAGTAATTGGAATGCGATATGACTGACTGCAGGTAATTACAAATAAGCTTACATCATCTACTGTTCAATCTCCATAGATCATTCTGATACAGATTTAACCCAATTAACGCGCTACCTAGGAGCATCTCCTAATTGACAATACTTCTAATTTTAAAATGCATTCTTCCTCAAACGTCATCATACATCCCAATTTATTTGTTAATGCCGTTCGTGGTATTTAGTTTACGTAACAGACATGTCTGGAGCTCGTATCCTCCAGGGGACACGCCATGTATAGTAACAAATGACTGACTCGTAAGAGCACAGTGATCGAAACGACGTCTTTGCCAATCCCTCCCTCTGCCGGCTCAGCGGACTGAGGATTACATCATGAGATTGTGCATTTGTGAGGATAAAACGACGATGGGACTGAAAAAGTATCAGAAGTCGAATGGCATGAAAAGCGAAGGTGTTCTTGTTACTCTGAGCTGCCCTCTTGCGAGCAGAATGGTTGGCATACTCATGTAGGAAAACTTCGGAGATTCTAGAAACAATTATGGCGTTCACTTCCTTAAAATTATTTCATCTACATGGAGAAGTTATTAGGATTTAAAAATTAAACGACAACGTTACCTATTTCTGTGTATGCTTTCAAAAAAATTACGTTCCCATTAAGTTGCCATTCCTTCAAGGTGAGATTTCATGTTTTCACGGCTACGAGTATTAAGATGGGCGAAAAGGCAGTCGCAGACAGCTAATGGTCCTCCACCTTCGAGTCTGGGCGGGGCCATAAACACCACCGTAAAAGAAAATTACACACGAGGCTTCGCAATTGGACGTATACATCGGGCAGCCCATGTAAAGACGGTAATGAACCCTCGGGCTCCAAAAAATATGAAAAAGTCTTCACCAGGTGAGCGACTATTAGCGTCTCATTAAAGACTATAGCATGGAATTACTTGAGAAGTTTCTGGTGATCTTCTTTATCCTCACAGGAACTAAAGTTATATTTGAACTTCGAGGTTCTCACGGCATGAAATGTCCATGTGATTTTTTTAGTTGTCACACCGTAATACCAAGGATTCGGATAAACATACTGTCTCCATCTTCAGGGCGTTATATTGATATAAAAATAATTGAAATGCGATAAAACGTAACTGCTGATAAGACAGACAGGAGGAACGAGAAGACGTCATGGCATAGATCTAATGGAGTTTGCTACAGCCCGGAGCACAGAGCAAGGAAACGGAGATGGAAAGAAAAAAATATAAGTTAAAAGAGATGGAGGAATTCAAGGAACAGTGTGAATGAAATTGTCGATATTACGAGAGACTCAGGTACAAATTGAAGGACATATGCTGCCGATGGAAATAAAGGAAGTCCACAGAGAGCCACACTTAAAAATGTTACAGTCGAAGCGATGGCCAACAAATTCCCCACCTTCTGCTGGCACACAAACGTTTATTACCGTATAGGTATGATCTCGCTACTGGACCTAAAACTGAGCCAGGGTGATGATGGAGGCAGTAAGCTCCTTTGAAACATCGTTCACAGTCTACCAGACTACGACACAACACCCCAGAAGAAAATCGTCTCCATACTTGTCGCCGTGAGAACCTCATATCTCACATATTTAACGTGATCTGCCTTTGAGCGGGTCTCATACAATCTGACTCTTGTTTATTGCGCATGGAATGCGTTTGTCGGTACTCCTCCGAGTCCATCGGTTCTCCCTGACAATACCATTCCATCGCTGCTCCGTATTGACCCACGTATCATCTGGGGGATGGACAAAGGGCCCATTTGCGGTCCAGTTCCCTCACCCCACGGCAACAGTAACAAGGTAAGCAATGTAGCTCCTTGGCTACACATTGCCTTTAACGCCAGAGGAAAATACATATAAAACAGTTATGGCCCAAGCTGAAATCGAACTGAGGATTCCAGTGTTGCAGTAGAATATAACCGTTAGCGTCATTCACTGAACGACTACTGCAATCGACCTTATTCTGGATCACCAATCGCAATTAGCTACTTGGGTATTAAAATGCCGGAACCTAACACACCTAAGTGAATATAAGCCGCTCATACACGCAGCTGCCTATATTACAAACCGTGTTGGTGACGTCAGAAAGAAGCTGGTGTCTGAACAGGTTACGGGTTACGCAGAAAGGGTGTGGGAGTGGGTGGGGGAGGGGGCTAGTGGAAATTAATTGGTTTGAATACGTCAGGAGCTTAACCCAGATCCAGATCTACCATGTCGATTCGTGTCAGAGAATTTCGTTGGTTCCAAAAAGCACTGCCACCTACCAATTCTTTTAGGAAACAAATAAAATAAAAGGTTTGTACCTTTAGCATTGAAACAAATACGACACGAGAAAGGTCCGATTTTTTAATACTAAAGAAATTACTGATCACTAAAAAGAAATAACCGCCCGTTGCCAGTTTTTCTCGGTTTATACACGCGTATGCACGAACAACACACTACTTATACGTTCAATAATACGCGAACCTCTCCTTTCAAATCTTTGCCTTCTCTTATAACTCATGACCACTTTCTTGTATTACACATCTGAAATAAGTTTACTTGAATCCGAAATGGTTGTGAGGGGATCAAACAAACAGGCGCATTTAAATTTGTTTTAACATTTAATGCCTACAAAATTACACATCTTTACACATTACACTAACACGCCATCTTCATTAAGTATTTTAACCTTAAAGACTGCAACATGAACAAATCACTCCATTGCTTTAGTGAACTGGCTTGGGATATTTTAAAGTCAGATTCAGGAAAAATATTAGACAGGGTTGGGGCAAAGATGAAGTAATTGATTTTACGCATTCCCTTTTACAATAAAATAAATAAGAATGAAACAAACGTACAAGCGAATTGATAGAACTGCAAGGAGCGGATGATACGGGGGTTGTACCTTTAAGACACGGAATTCAAGGCTTGGCTAGTTCACGTCTTTGTCCGCTACCACTTCTATTGCCACCACCCTGTTCAAGTAATTAAATTTCCAGCTTCCTCAACGGGTTTCTCTCTCTCTCCATTTTCAGCAGCATCCAGCTGCAGTCCAGAACACACAAGTGAGTTACCATAAAAACACAGGACCCAGTGTCCATTACTTAGCCTTTTATTTGCGAACTGTAATGGCGCTTTTATGTAAAACGGGTAATTAAGTTTAAGGTGGATGATTTTATGGTAATGAGTACTTTGGAGAAAATTGTGGGTGTCACATTCGAGACGTGGAGATAACTCTGACAATAGCATGGCTTCCAGAGTAGTGAAAGGTATTTTACCTGAATCTTTATCCTAATAAGCATATCTGCAATGTCAGAACAATTTTTAATTGTCCACTTTTATTACTTTGGTTTAAATTCACGGCTTGCAGTCGTTTAAACAGCAAAAGAGTTACACTGAAGTTTAATAAACGATAAAGATTGATCTCAAACACGCAGGAACTGTGCGTTGGATTTCGATTCTAAATGTCTCATTATCACTACAATATAAATATCAATTATACCAAAAATTCTATTTTCTGGAACCATTTCCAATAAAATATATATCTTCCACCATTTTTGAACAAATTTCAGGTCCTTGAAAGCGAGGTGATAATGAATATGACTAGGAAAAGGACGGTAAATGGGGGGAAACGAACTATGGGTAACTTGGCTTTTGTGCTGTTCTACACTTAATAGGCTTAATTTTAAGAGTATGATGCACAGAACATGAAACGTTTGTAGAAAACGCAAGAAACAGATTTAAAGGCAGATTCTCATCACGTAACAAGTAAAGTGTACGAGGACACTTGTGCACTTTTGTCACGTAGGGCCAAGGCAATGATGAACTGTGTTGTCTCTAATCAACAGACTCAGACAGCGGTGTCCTCCCAGAGGCATAAGCACGCAATAACGCAATAAGCGAAGTACGCTGTTTCCCACCTCATTAGACAGGATCGAAACTAGAACCTGA